CAAGTGATGCGAGAAAACGATTGTGGTCGAGCGAGCATGCATCGGCATCAGATTCATTCAGGGTGCATTCCGAAAGCATCCTTGCTTTCCTATTCTTTGTGAGCTTCTCTTACGCTGTAACATCTTTAACACATGTTGCAATTCCTGGGATTTATGAAACCCCGGTTCTTGGAGTGAAACACTGGGTTTCAAGCTCGACCCTATTTTTTAAGCGGGTCTAGGTTCTATAGGTAGGGTTTAGGGTTTAGGGTTTAGGGATTAGGGATTAGGGATTAGGGGCCGGTGTTGTGCAGGTTCTGTTTCTCCAGAGAATTTGGGATGCAGGGTTTGGAATGCAAAGTTGGGGGGGGGGGTGCAGATTTAGAGATCTAGAATCTAGGGTCGCTGGTTTCGGGGCAGCTACAAGTTGGAGTTTGCCTCCAAACCTTACATCCTAAAGGTCCTAAACCCTGAACCCTGAAGCCTTACCAAGAAGGTCCAAACACCTACACGAGTACTTTTGGTTCTGAAAGGATTTCGGCACCTGAAACCAAACTTTTGAGGCACATAGGCCCTTACGTCTGAGGCCTTTCAACATGTGAAGCCATGCCGACACGAATTTCGTCCTCCGAAAACCCCTAAACCCTGAATCCTGAAAGCCCTAAACCCTAAACCCTAAACCCTAAACCCTAAACCCTAAACCCTAAACCCTAAACCCAATCCTGATGGTTTGGAAGTGCGGGTTTGAGACCGAGCCCTGGGGTCTTCTGGGACTGCACAGTACTTGAAGGTTTTCAGGTTTAGGGGTGTTCGAGTTCAGGGTTTTAGGGCTTATAGGGTTCAGGGGGTTAGGATTTTGGGCTTAGGGTTTAAATGCTGGGTTGGAGTCGTTGAAAACCTGAGGAGATTGCTCATGCACACCGTGATTGCGCAGGCAGCAGTTTCGGAATGGGGTTGCCCTAAACCCTAAACCCTAAACCCTAAACCCTAAACCCTAAACCCTAAACCCTTGCCCGTAGGCACTCTTTTGGCCTTTGGTTTCGCGGAGTCTCTTGCCGAGAGCTAAGCCCTGGCACCACCTCCCTGCAACAAAAGAGCTCAACTCTTCATATTAGGGTTTAGGGTTTAGGGTTTAGGGTTTAGGGTTTAGGGTTTAGGGTTTAGGGAATGCCAGTAGCATTTGTGGGGCTCCTGATCATGAATTTAGATACTATTGTATAATATACCCCCCAAACCCGGAGCTATGCACCTGTCAGACACTAAACCCGAAATCCTCAGATATGCTCAACAAGTATGCGGTAGGCTCAAAGTACCTCAGTATGACATACTCCCCGATGCAGAAAACTTGTTTGTTCTGGGGGGGACCTTAAACCCTAAACCCTATAAACCCGAAACCTAAACCCTCAACCCTAAGCCCTAAATCCTAAACCCTACTGGAGGGGCATCGTAATGCCCAAAGTTGATTCGCACCTGACGGCCAGGAGTTCCCGCAGGTTTACAGCCATTCCTCGCGCCGTGACGGTGAGCGCTTCCTCTGCGTGGAGACCTTACCCTCTCCCAGAACTAGGGCTTTACATTTTACCTACTGTCTCCATTGTGGTTCCTGTTGGGTGTTAATTACCTTAAAAGGATCCATCGTATTTATATAGTTGGTTAAACCAGAAAGAAGGACTATGGACGATGGAGACTATAGGAAGGGTCACAGTCGCAAAGCTTCACATAACCGTAGCATCCCCGAAGCCTGTGACTCAACCCTGATTCCTAAAAGGTGCACATCCTACCGCAAAAACCCTCATCCTGAAATCGTATCATGCGGACCAGAGACCCAAACCGCCCCAGATTCGGTCGTTTAGGGGTGAGGGCGTAGGGTTTAGGTTTCAGGGTTGTCGGGCTTAGGGGTTTAGGGGTGACTTGTACCCCCATAATTAAATACCCCAAGCTCCAGATCTGCTTAGCTGAACCTTAAACTTGCTTAGCCGAACGGCAGGCCGACCCTATCATCGGTGCTTTTATCCTACCCTTCGTCTGAAATCTGAGTTCATGCTTACTAGTTCGATTTGCAGACAAGGCCTCAACAACCTCTTCGGGACAGATGCATGCATACATCATACATACATGCATGTATGCACTCATACATTGTCATACATGCATACATACGGCCGACCGACCGATCGACAGACGGACGGACGGACGGACAGACATGCACACGTACATACCGATATGCAGACATGCATGCACATATACATGCACACACGCCCATGCATGCATGCATGCATGCATGAACCCTGAACCCTAAACACTAAACCATACACCCTAACCTAAACCCTAAACCCTCAACATAACATACATCTCTAAGGGCTGAGCTGCTGCATACTCAACGGTGAGCCTCATGCCCGACTGCTCAAGTCTTCGGTAGCCTTAACTTGAACTGCTAGAAATTATTGCTCCGCCGGATCCCTGTCAGTTCTATTAGGGTTCATGAAAAAGAACCTACAAAAAGTAGGTTGTGGTATTTATATGTGTATATATATATATGTTATATATACATATACATATACATATATATATATAGTGATTAGTTTAAGGTTACCCCTTAAATATCCTAAGCCCGCACCCAATACTCCAACGCCAGAACCACCCCTAAGAAGCCCACACACTACCAGCACCTGCGGACACACGCGCCTAGGTCTACAAGTCCCAGGTGCCTGTTTTTGAAGTTGTTTCCGTTCAAAGATTTGGGTTCAGGGCTTAGGATTCAGGGTTTGGTGCTTCGAGGATTTGGGGGTTGCAGATCCGACGAATGCTGCGAGTTCCATGGTTGGTGACGTGGAGCCTAAGAGGGTTCGTTCAGATCAAGCATCATCAAAAGGGAGTCAGGGTTCAGGACCCCGGGGCCTGACTAGTCAATGATAACATTCCTTAGGGTATCTTTGCGGGTTTGGGGTTTAGGGACTTAGGGTTTAGGGCTTAAAGGGTTTAGGGTCTAATTACCCCTTGTTGAATTCAACCCAGTAAGGCGCTTAGATTCATGTTTAAGCCGCTGCCTTGCGAACCCTAAAGCCCACACTGAGTTCCCGGAAAACCAAAGCCGCGACCGAATAATGATTTGCAGGTGGAGTAGACCCTACACCCTGGTATAGGGTTTAGGGTTTAGGGTTTAGGATGATTTGCAGCTAGATTTGACCCTGCACCCTGGTATATAGAAGGCCCGAGAAGAGACAACTAACCACACCTATACATTGACTTGGGCTGTATTCTCTGGTAACCCTACGGCTTCACATAGCTAAGAATCCGATATTCTCCCGAAGACTAGCCTAGATAGCGACTATCCTAAGCCCAAGTACCTGAATGCTGGGTCCTGTGCATTTCTGGGGCAACTTTTTTGGGTCCTCTGTCGAATGGGAAGCACAAGCAGGTACATATACATATGGGTAGTTCGCTAAAGATAGGTCCCAGAAACAGTGCGACGCCCTCATAAAAAGAATCCCAGAAAGGGACCCCAATTTCGAGAACTACTGTACCATGTACTACCCATATCGAGTGGAGGATGGTGGAAAGCCATCCCGAAAACCCGAAACCCAAAGCCCTGGGGGTGGTGGAAAGCCTTGAAGCAGGCGGAAGTCTACGAAGAGCAGCTTCGCGGCCTCCAGCGGGAGATGGATGCCATAGATGAGGAGGCGTTGTGGAGGGTTTAGGATTCCGAGTTCAGGGTTTAGGGCTTACCTGTAGCCGAAAAGACCTACTTTTTGGGGTTCCTTATTCTGGTTTCTATTTGTAGTTCCGGCTACGGGTAGGGTTCAGGGTTTAGGATTTCGCGTTTAGGGTTTCGGGTTCTGATCTTGTCACCTCATAGGTTTCGTTGTTTGGGGCTTGTAGGGTTTGGAAAGCCTTGGAGCATCCGGTGGTGAGCCTTCTTTTAAATGTTTTTGAGCCCCGGGCTTTTAAGGTTCAGGGTTCAGGGAAGTGTTGAAAGCACGCAGTATTTGCGATCAATAGCATCAAAACAAACACTGCCAGTGCTCAGTCTCCTCCGTGTCTCTACCTGCTCAATACTGAGATGGCTCCGAAGCCCTAAACCCTAAACTTCCCGCACCTAAACCCTAAACCCCTGAGCCCTGACCCTCAAGAGTTCTCAGCTGCTACTCACTGCTCAGATGGTTCAGTCAGCCGGGTTCAGGGTCTAGGGTTTAGGGTTGAGTCACTGGGGGTTTAAGGTTTAGGGGGTGTGTTTTGCAAGAAAATGTACTGAATGTACTGCCCTGAATAGACGCCAGAGGCCTTCTTAATATCTGGAAATGCCTAGCGGCAGATGATTTTTAGTATTAGCCATACTCGGACCAGATGGCAATATTACTACCATGCAAGTCTGTTAGCGTGTTATGGGTTTGCAACAGAGGTTCTACAGGGGTTTCAGAAGAGTCCTGACTGAGCAAGACCTAAAGTTAGTAAACCCCCCAAACCCAAAGCCCAAAGCCCAAAGCCGCAAGTCTCGAAAGCCAAGAGTGTCCCCAAAATCCTACAATAACCTCGAGGGCAATTATAGTATAATAGACTCCTGTTAAACACCCCCCCCAAACCCTAAACCCTAAACCCTACATCAACCTTCAGAGGTGGGTGTTCGCAGCCTCACAGACGAGATCACCCGCAGCCAGAAGCCGCTAGTGGGGCACAACTGCTCGAGCCCGAGACTACAAACTTGCGTCATCCAGGATACGCTTAAACCTTAGGCCCTAAACCCGAAACCCTAAACCTCTAAGCCCTAAACCCGAAACCCTAAACCCTAAACCCCAAACCCTAAACCCTAAACCCCAAACCCTAAACCCGAAACCCTCAACCTCTAAACCCTAAACCCGAAACCTCTAAATTCCCACCCGGCCTGCTTAGG